AAACAATGCACAGGCACAGAGTCAACAGAGCATCCTCTTCCCAGGTGAACGGCCACATCCCAAAGAGTAGAAGAAACAAAATTTAGTTAGTAGCCATGAAAATAGAGTCTGTGGGCTACTAGCCTGAGCTTCCTTAAAATTAGTTTGATTTTTCCAGGAGTAGAACTTGCAGAGCTGAATGAGGAATCAGACAGCCATCTTGCAGCAAGTTCATTTCAGGGAGCACAAGAGAAGCTCTTCATTGTTAATTGCTAAAGAAAAGGAAAAAAATCACACTAAAACCTGTGTCATCAGAATTCCTGCTAGCCTAGGTCATTGCTCTGGCTCGTTCACCATCCACGGAGCCCCTCTGACTGTAGCCCAGAGGAAGCAGCCTCTTTCAATGATAAGTAATAGTTTTAAAAAACGTACAGAACTGAAATAAAGGTGCTCTAAGAAAAAAAGGAGGAAAGGAACTAGCAAAATAAATGGCAGCTGAAAAGCATTCATCAAAGAAATGTTACAACAGAAAAGATGAAAATTGTGGCCTAAAACTTCATGAACTAGATCACAGAGTCACGAAACATGCAAGCACCAATGTACTGTGGTATGCTGGGTCCTCCATTTGTTTGCAAGTTACCAATTATCAATGTTTAAATATTTAGTGTTCCTAAAATTGGGAATTACCTAAACGAACAATCAAATCCGCTGCTTGATGACCTTAGGCCTGATTGTTTCCCTCTGTACAACTGAGATGTGAATGATCCCTGCTTCACAGAACTGACGTGAGGGTCAAAGGCCTCAGCCTAGGACAGTGCTGGGCGTAGAGAGGGTCTTAACTAACACGACCTATTTGTGACCAGTTCTTGGGGAGTGCAGTCTCAGGAAGGCAAGAGTGAGGGAAAAGGGAGAAGTGAAGCCAAGAAAAAGGACGTATGTGAGGCAAAGGAGGAAGGAAAACAAGCACAAGATGGTGCAGTAAGTGAGCTGGCCATAGCTCCTCAGGAAAACACTGCCCGATGGGAGCTCAAGCTGAAGGCTGTTCCTTGTCCCCCGTGGTCAGGATGATGGGCAGTGTCAGGAGATGAGACAAATGTGGCAACTCTCCAGGCTTGGCCTCCTGAGCCAGGAAGCAGGGTAGTGGCCAAGGGCCTGAGGGCAGCATGAATCAAGATGGACATAAAGTGGGCTCGGGACATCTTTAATAAAAAATATGTGAGGTTAATTCTAAACAATAGCTAAAGAACATAGAAATAATGTGTCAGACCAAGGGGAAAATTGGAATCAAATTAAGGGACCAAATATGTGAGGATGGGGGGCGAGGGGCAGGAATCACAAGAACCTCACAGAGAAAGAAGACAAAGGGGAGACAGAGGAAGCAGGTCTGCATGGCTTCACAGGCCCCAGGAGTCTCTGCCCTCATCGGCTGCTTCCTCCATTAAAAAAAGCCTGTATTTTACAGTTGCATTGGTACCAAGATAAATATACTAATATTATATATTAAAACATCTACCTAAAACTTCTTTTTTTTTTCTTCTGATTTAAAAAAAATTGACACATTATCATGGGCCCTGTTAGAAAACAAAATTCAAGGGGTAAATCTGAAGATCTAATTGGCCTTATAAAACCGTCCATGTAGCAGCACCCTTCTGAGCAACCAGAGATATGCTCTGAGGAGGTGTACAAAATGGAAGGTTTTTATAGGAAGGAGGGTGGGCCAAGAAGTTATTAGCAAAAGAAAAGAAAGGATTGTTTCAGGCCAGGACATCTCCTTTTTAGAGGGGGAGGCAGGGTTTTTATCGTGCAGCAGCCTCAAGGGCTGATTGGCAAATACCGGTCTGACCATTAAAACGTCATATTCCTGGGACAGGTTAAAACATAATCTTGGTTGCTGTCATAGGGGGCAAGTGGCTCCATCTGGGGACTTTTTTTCTTTTTTAGCAGCCCAGAAAGGAGTGTGTGCCCCAGGCATTGTCTCTGCTGTGCCTCAGGCAGCCCTGAGCTGGGGCAATGGAGCCCCCGCAAGGGGTCAGCCAGGAGCCAGGCCTTTGGGCAGGGTCTTGATCGTCCTTGTGTTCCTAGCACCTCACTGGAATAGATTAGATTATTTTGATTATTCTGCAAATATTCAGTGAATAACTACTCGGTCCCAGGCGCTGTGCTAAGCGCTGAGGATACACCCAGAAGAGGCTGCCCTTGCCTTCCTCACTGGCTCCAGTGTCAGTGTGGTAAAGTAGGGAGATAGCTAGACATGAGCAGGGCAGGGAGGGGACTTAGGTGGGATGCTTGTTTACATTCTACACCTGCTGTACAAGCTGTTCACACAGGACGGGGACTGAGGGTATAGATAATAGGCCAAAACTGGCTGGTTCCAGCATGGAGGAGTTGACCCTGACTTCACCTCCAAACACATTTTACATTCATTGACACAGTAAAACTCACACCTCTCCCTCACTACCATAGTAAAAATCACACCTCTCAGCACCATGACAGTTCCAAGGAGAACCAAATATAGTCAAAAATCCCCCAAAGAAACCACCCCACACACACCCATGTGAGGGTGGAGCAAGCCCAACCTCCAGGAAGACTCCACCTGTTCTCATTGAAACCTAACCCCACTTAGTGCATATTCATCTCCTTTCATATAAAAAAGCTCCCTGTTGGTCTCTCCTGACAACCCCCTGGGTCTGCCCGCATGCCAGCTCCAGGTGTGTACTCTTCTTGTCTTTATCTGAACTTTGTGCTCCAAATAAACTCTTAATGCTCAACTGCTTTTATGTGGCCATTTCTGAATTCTTTCTTGCAACAAGACCAAGAACCCATCTCCAGTAACAAAGGGGGCTATGTCAATAAGAACCTTTCATTTGCAGGGGAAAATCAAATGCATTAAAAAAAAAAACGGGATTAAACAAAAAGTATATTTATTAGCTCACATAAATGAAATTATCCGTGGTAAGAACTGCTTTCCTGCCTGACTGAATTCAGGGATTAAGTGTTCTTAACAAAACAAAGTGAACATTAAGCTTTCACGTGCCTGGCCCAATCTGAGCATTTCACACATATCCACTCAAATACTTTAACTCACCATAAAACTATGCAGTAGGAAGTAGTGTTAGCTCTATTTCACCCACAAACAAGGTGGGATACTCGAGGTCTCCCCATTTCTCAGCTCTGCCTTGCAGTGCACATAATTTCTTCTCCAGTCCTCTTAGTGGCCCAAGTTTATTAGGGTAGTTTATGAGAGGAAAATTCACATGAATTATTAGTAAAGAAACTGCAGGACTTGGGGACCCACAGGATGTAGGGATTGGGATGGGTTTGGGGTGAAGCCTCAAGTCTTTGGTTGTAACCTTTTCTAAAATAAATACAGAGAATCTTGATTTTTGATAAAAGATGAGTGTGCAGTTTTGGACATGTTGGATTTAGAATATCAGTGGGATACTCAGATGAAAGAATACTTATTATGTCTCAGGTCCTTCTAAAAAGTCACTTGAGAAACTTATATAAAAAATAATACAACAGGATAAAAAACAGAAGGAGAAATCAGGTTGGAGGAAAGATCACTTCTCCTCAGGAGACCTCCCTGTAATTATACCACTCCTGCTGGGTTAGAGGACCCATTTTATATGTCCCCATAACACCTTGTATTTTTCTCCTCATAGCATTTATTTAAAACTTTATTACCATTGACAGTTAAATGTAAGTTCCATTAGGGCAACATCCCTGTCTATGTAATACACCATCCATCTCCATCACCTAATACAGCAAATAGCAAATGAAAGAATGAACAAATGAAATATCTTATTTAATCCTCATAACAGACATGGAAATAGAGAATTGTCATTACCAGCAGTGAAGCTCAGATGTCTTTGACTGTGAAAGCCATCCTTTTTCCATGCACCTTGCCACTTCCCTATTTAAAATGGATATGGGGAAAATAGGACAATTCACGAAAGAACTGATCATATATCACAAGGAATGGCTGAACAGACCAGAAGTTTGGACTGAGGAAGAGACTGTGAAAAAATTATAGATAGTCAGTCCTGTGTGTCTGCTGGTGTTGGGACTCCAAGGCCATGCACATCATAGAAATAAAGGATTTTGTTGTAAAGGTGTTGCTGAAGGGCAGCCAACTGCCACATATTAGAAACCATAAAGACAGATTTTGATCTCAGTATAAGGAAAAGTTTCCTATCAGTCAAAGTTGTCCAAAACCAAGAGTTGCCTAAGAGGTACTGAGTAGGATCCTTATCTCTGGACTTTTTCAAGTGTAGACTAGCTAAGAATAGACAGCAAGATGGTAGGGGACATTGAAGTGTAGAAAGTGCAGGTGTATTCCATGGCTCTCGGGTTCCCTTCAGTGCTGAGGTGATATGATTCAGTTCTTAATAAAACAAAGTCAAAAGGATCTCCAGTCTTACTGCGGGAAGAAATTTCTTACCAGGAATATATATATTCTTACCCACATGGGAGGAATATCACAGCAGAAAACGGACATACCAGGTTAGACAGTCCTGCCCATTATTTTCAACCCATTTCTACTAATCTATGTCCTGTTTCTACTATTTCATTTCCAGTTTCTACTACTCCATTTCCTTATACCTTAAGATCTCACTTTGGCTTTCCATGTTGCAGGATGGAAAATGTTTTGACTAGCTAACTAGTTCACTATTCTAGTTCAGTCAGCAGTTAGACTTCTCAGGAAATGAATGGATCCAGCACCCAAGTTAATCAGTGTTTGCTGAGTTCGGTTATTAAAAATCAGTCCCTCTCAGCCTAAATCATGCTTGAATGCATAGTAAATTTGTGCTTTTGGTATGAAGAACGTAGACCCAAATACTGAATTTTGGTACTCCCCCAGTGTGCTTCCCTCCTCCTTACAGCTGCCAGCTGAATGCCATATACACTGGATGACAAGTTAGTACTCTAGGTATCTCCACCCCCTTAGGTTTATAGTAATATTAATAACCATAGTAATGTTGGTGGAGAATGTAACAAAAGAGAATTAGTAAGAAATTGGGTTACTTTTGTTTTAACTTGATTTTTATTATTTGCTGCTACAGAAGTATGAGAAAGAAAATAAACAAGTAACAACCCCCAACCAAAGTTAGCCAACCCTTAATTCCTAGAGGTCAGGGTCCAGGCTCTCGAAGCTTTCATGTGCTTCCCAGTGAGCTAGCGAGACATTTTATGTGAGAAACCTTCATTTGGGCTCTAAATTTTGTGTGAGGATTGACAGGGGGACATTGAGTGGATTTCCAAGGATTTGAGATGGAAAGAATTTGTTGTTCCTTGGGGATAGAGAACTGAGCCTGCTCAGACCAGCAGCCCCTCTGTGATGACAGAACCTCAGGAAGAGTGGCTGTTGGGAAGCTGATACAGTCTGTGCACTAAGGCTTGGGGCCCTGCAGAAGGAGCTCTGAATTTCTCCAGAGGAAATGGAGCTACTGCAGAGCTGCCCACCATGGAAGGACCCCTGGTTCAGAGCACAGAGCAGGACAGGTCGACCTGGCCCTTAGCAGAGGCATCCATCAGGAAACTGGTACCTCGATAGTCCCATCATGTGGTCATAAGAAGCAATAGCACCAGAGACATTGAAAGTCTGAAAGACTTTTTCACACCACACAAATGATGTGAACCTTCTGGTACAATTACATCTCAGAAGGGGGAGGAGCCCTAAAGTGACTGATAATCGACTTCCCACCAATCATGCCAGGTGGGGTTTGCCCTCTTCTAAATCCATGAAATTTTTTTTTGAAGTTACTATTGAACTCTGGTCCCATTTTAAATCCCAACACCCTCCTCTAAATTACTTTCTTCCCAGTCGATCATTATCTGTATCCTTACTGTTTTCTTTATTCAGAGCTCATAACCAGAAGGCCTTATAGTTCATATGTTCACTTGTTTTTATTTGGCTCGTATTTGGTATACTTGTTTAATGCCTGTCTCCACCTACTCAAGCCACAAAGGCAGGGAGTTTGTCTTTCTTACATGCCACAGTATCCCCAGCTCTTTAAACGGTGCCTGGCAGACACACAAAGCTCAGTAAATACTTGAATAACTGGATGAATGAATTATATACCTGAAACAAACTATGTTCCAGGCACTGTGCTAGACACTTCTGTAACTCAATCCTCATAGCAGCCCAACAGTGGCTATCATTATCCCATTTTATAGATGAGGAAAACAATTCTATTGACCACTATGTTTTACTGACCTTCACCATTCCTGTTTTACATCTGTTTAGCTTTTCCAAGAATGTTTCCTTAAACACCCCACATTCTTGTTTTCCACCAATTTACCTTTTCTAAGAACACTTCCTTAAACATCCCCCCGATTTCCTCGGTCAGGGTACCTTGTGTTCCTTCCTCCTTTCCTCTCAAAATAATGTACGTGTAACTGTCACTACACTTACATCATTCATTATTAATTGTTTCTACCTCCCTAAACTCTGAGGTCCTTGAAGGCCTCAGAAGGAACTGTTATCTTGGTGTTCCTAGCACAGGGCCTGGAACACATTTGGTACTCAAAAATATTTGTATGCGAGGATTTAAGGAATAGGCCAATGACCATGCTCCTATCCCCAGCCAAAGCCCTCTAGCTTCACTTCTGTGATGTTCTTGCTTCATGAGGACCTACTGTGCACCACAGTATTTGGTGTGGGGAAAACATATGAAACAACCTCCTGCAAAGGAGCCCCTACCTAGCAGAGTGGGCTGGAGGGATTCACGGCAAACAATCACAGTCAGTGCAGTCAGCACTGAGGTGTGCACATGGTGCTTTGGGAACAAGAGAAGCAGCTGGCCCCAAAATAGGGGTACCTTGCTGCATTTTGCAGGAGAGTAGAGAGGAGAATGAGAGCACACAGCTCAGTGTGATTAAGTAGTGGAGAAAAAGGAAATGACGAGAGGTGATGCTACAAGAACAGGCGGGGACCAGATCATGAAGGGCCTTGCAGGTTAAACACGCTGAAGGAACATTCAAAAGCTTGGACTTAATTCTGAAGGTGATGGGGAGCCACCGAAGGGCCTAACCAGAAGGGGATGGGATCAGATTGGCAGTTCAAATAACAGGTGAAAGGCCTGAAATAGAGCAGTGGTCACGGGTATTAAGAAAAGTGGACAGATTGCAGAGGCCAAAACAATAGGTAACTGTTTCTATGTGAGGGGAGTGAAAGGGAGAGAAGCCAGTGAAGACCCCCAGGTTTCTGTGTGCATGGTGGTATCATTCATCAATAAAGGAAACACAAAAGAAGCATTTTAATGATAGCAGTAAATGCTCAATAAGTAGCTACAGAATTGAAATTGAACTTAATAAAAAGGTAGGAGATAGACTGCTTCTTTTGGACACCCTGAGTTTGAAGTATTTTTCAACTGCAGCTCATGACAGTGGCCTGTGGGGTGTGTGGCTGGTAGGAGTGGCCTAGGAGTGTATGTTAATGGAGGAGCACCAGAATGAGAAGAGGTTCAGAATGACAACAGAATCCTGGAAAACCCAGCTTTTAAGAGGTGGTAAAGGAATAACAAAGAGGAGCCCCTAAATCACTGGAGTGGACCAGGTGCTTCCCCATGAGGGGAGTGCTTGAGAAGGAGTGGCCAGGTTATTTCTATGTGCCACTGAGCAGAGCCCACGATTCAGTGGAAACTGGAGAAATCATACAGTGACCTGTTTACAACTGAAGCCACATTCCAGGTTGCTTCCCCCCACCCCCTCACCTGGAGTCTGGATCAAGTGACATCACTTTTATTGACAGTGCTTGCAGGCAGGCGTGAGTGGCCACCCTTTTAGGACACAAGCTGGTCTGGAGGAGCCGGGAAGGGAAGGCGGGAGCTGGGCTGTGCATGCAGGATTCACTCCTTATTTGGGTGTGAATACTGCGTTGACAGGAAGATTTATTTTGGGACTAGGCACAGGCACAGGGGAGGCAGGCAGCGCCAACCATTAGGCAGCACTCTGTATTTGGAGCACAGCCGCTTCAGCAGCCTCAGGTCTCCCAGGATTTTCCTCTTCCTCCGTGCCCTGTAGAGGTTCTGGCTCCTGCTCGGACTCCAGCGCAGGCTGGGCTTCAGGCTGGCCTTCGGTAATGCGGCCGGGCCCAAGGCGTGGTGGCTTGACAGGCGTGGGCGAGGGTGAGGCGGGGCCTTTCCGGCTCGAAAGGGCCCTTCGCAGGCTCTGTACCTTCTGCAACCCGGTGCGTCGCAGCCGCCGCGCCCTGGACTCCACGGGCTCCTCGTCCGAGCTCTCCCCCACCTCGGCCTCCAGCTGCTCTGGGCCGGGCTCGGGCTGGTCCCCAGGGCCTAAGGGTTCCGGCGCCTTCTGGAAGGCCCTGGCTGGGATTTCAGCCTCGTCCTGCATGAGATGGACACAGCTCTTACACTGGCTGCACCCTACCCGGCACCAGCCCGGGCCTCACTCTTCAGTTACACCAGAGAGGGCCACACCGCCCTTTGCCTACGCGGCCTGAGTGGTAAAGAAAAGGCGTGCGTGGCAAAGTGGGGCTGGAGTAGGGCTTAGTGGGGAGCGCCCGGCAAACTGCACAAGTTTGCAAAGTAGGTGGGACCCGCCTAGGGGCAAGAGACAGGGCAGCGACCACAGGGGCAGGAACAGCAGGACGCCACGGACGGTCGCGAGAGGAGCTTCCACCAGGGTCTCTTCTATCCCAGCTGCGCTGGGACCAGGAGTGAATTCGGGGAACAAGGCCTGAGCTAGAGCTGCCGCTTTGATTGGCCGAGCGGGGTTCAGCGTGCGAGGGAGGGGCCGGGCTGGGTGCGGGAAGTGGGTGCGGCTCTGGAAGTCTGTTCACGGGGCAGAGGCAGGAATGTGGGTGTGGCGGGCAGATGGGAGGGGAGTCCCTCGACCGTGGCCCGGAGGCTGGAAAAGGCCCCGGACTGGGGGACGCCTAAGGTCACTGACCTTGAAGAGCAGAACGTGGAGCTTCCCGCGCGCCACCAGCAGCCCGTGGTTGGCCTCCAGCCGCTGCACCTGGGCGGCGCGGCGCACGGCGCGCTCCTGGGCGGCGTCGGCATGGGAGCCCACGCGCTCCGCCTTGGCTAGCAGCTGCGCCAGTGTGTTGCTCGTGGTGTCGTGGCTGCGACTCAGCGCGCCCAGGCCGCTCTGGATGCGGCGCACAGAGCCCGCCAGGCCGCCCTGCCGCCGAGCCAGGCCCCCCTGCCGCTCGCGCAGCGCCTCCAGCATGACCTCCAGCTTCTCCAGCAGGGTCACCACTGTGACTGCGTGCACCGGGCCCCCCACCGGCGCTCCGGGCAAGGGCCCCGGCTCGAGCGCACTCTCCCCCATTATCCCCGACCGCCCTGCCTGCTCTCTCGGCGGCCGCTGGCTGAGCTCTGGGCTAGGGCGCCTTTCCCAGCTCCTCCCCAGCTCCAGCCGTGACTCAGGCAGGCGGAGTTGGCCTGTCCGGGGGGCGGGATGTCTGCGGCGGGGTCCTTTGGAAGCGCTCCCCCTTCTGCTGCCCCGCCCCGGGGGCCGGTGGGGGAAGCAGGTTGGCCCAGAATCCTCCTCTCCCCACTCCCGAACTCTCTCACTCTGTTTGAGTTCCCCTCCACCCTCGCCGATTCCCTGGTGTGCCTCTTTCTGGAACATACTTTCCCCACTGCAAAGGGCAACAATCCATGGAAATTTTTGTTGTATGCATCGAGTGGGCAGAGAAACTATGCTAGTACGGCAAACGGATAAGCAGAGGGGGGCCTCCCTTGCCGCTGAGTATCGCGTTTGCACCCCCAGTTTGGGCGAGGTGGACGGGGAGGCTCCCAGAGGCTCCGCCAAAGGCCTAAGACTGTCCAGGCCCCAGGCCTCCCTTTGTGACCCCGCAGGCTGTGCAGTCTGCCCTGCATGTGGCGCATCCTCTGCTATTTTCCAAATAGTCATTGCCAGGGTGTAGACACAGGCCTCATTCCCTGCGTCTCTAGTTCTTACTGTCCGCTAGCATTACCCTGTGTTCTTTCTTCTAGTTCTCTTCCCTCTTTTCTTTGGACTTCCCAGATAAAGCCCAGCAGCACTTTGCCCCTGCACCCTAAACTGGGTAGGTAACACCTCTTCCTTTGAAACCCTTAAAAGGGTTAGAGTACACGTGGTATCTTTGTTTTCTAGGAGGCTGGCTGTGGCTCCTGCCTGGTGGTTTTTGTTTTTTTTTTTAATTTTCTCTGAAAATAGCTGAGAATACCTGCAAGTGAAGAAGATTTGAAATTGCTGCTGTAGAGAGGGAGAGAGGGAGCATGGAAGTTCTAGTTAATGATGTGGATCATGAATTTGTAATGTCATCAGCTTGGAAAATCCCATGCCTTGCCTTTAACAATACTTGGTACACTGATTGTAGGCTCGGTTGTCCAAGCAATCTGTTGAACCTGCTGATCTCCCTTCTCATCTCACCCAATCTCTGAAGGCCACTGGGTAACAACTGTAGAAGAAATTGTCATTCAGGGATAGTTAGGAGCCCAAAATGTCTGCCGTAGACAGAAATGCAGCAGACAATGGGCAACAGTTGCCAGAAATCTAGTGATGCTGAGTTGATGACTGACTTCTCCAAATGCAAGGTCATAGAGTCTCACCCCTCTGCGTAAGACAAGAGCAAATCAACTCCCTCAGGAGCCTGCTGGGAATCACCATCTCTTCCAGTGGATCTGTATTTGCTCAGAGAGACCTGTCAGGATGTGCCTGTTAAATAAATGCTTGCAAACTGAGGGAACAGAGAACCCAATTCAAAGTTCTTAGAAACAGGAAAGCCAGCACAAACATAACCAGAAAGGACCACTGTAGAGTGATGATTAAGTGTGGGTGAAAATCTGGTTCTCTACAGTTCTCTCAACTGTATCCCCTTACAAGGGTCAGCTTCATTCCCAGGCCGGGAGCAACATGGCTATAGCAGTTCCAGGCCTCTCAACTCTGCACAAGATAAAGAGAAAAGGGGGAAATTTTAGGACATTTATTTACTAACTTTTTCCATTTGCCTTCCACTAGGTTACATGGCTGTTCCAGAACCAAGATCTATGGCTAGGAAGGTGCTAAGCACTGATGGCCTTCAGCCTGAGTTCCTTAACCCAGCCCTGCAAGAGAGTGATAATACGTTTTGACAATTAGTCCCACATCTTGCACAGGGTAGCTTCAGCTTCTCCAGAGGCATATGGGTGGTATGGGGGTGGGGGGGAAATTGGATATCTGAGCACTGCTAGGCATAGGTAGCCAATCAGAATATCTATATGAGAGGGTTGCCAACCTTGAGGAATGGTCCTGAAGGAGTCCAATGCATTTAGGAGCAAAAACTACATGGATAGATACATTTCAAAGTCCTGCTAACTCCCTCTCTGGACATGTAGAACAAGGAGAATCTTAAAACTTACAAAGAAAGCTTTGATGGTTCTGCTTGTCTCCCCCAACATCTCAAGTATAAAAGCCAGAGGAACTGGCTTATGTTGGAAAATACAGAGTTTTGAGGTGAGTAAAATTGACTTGAGGTAACCCAGAAGAATGCCCCGAGTCAACAAAGCCCAGCGACAAAAATTAGAGCAGTGGGACCTTGATCATGGAGTATCCAAGAAAAAGCCATACTGCAGTTTCCAGTAAAGATGAGAAAGAAAACAGCAGCGCAGAATGATACCCTCTGAGGCAGTGGAACCTGATCTTACTTTAATAATTTCTATTCTCTAAATCAGGGGTGTGGCTGGGGATGCCCTCAAACTCTTTGTTATGGGCAAGACTAGTGGAAACCTCTGGGTTTATTGGTCCCCAGAAAAGATAAGTTCAAGTCCTAACCTTTGAAACATGTAATTATATTCTTATTTGGAAATCGGGTGTTTCCAGATGTAATCAATTTAAGATGAGCTCATGAAGCATGGGCCCTTAGTCCAATATGAAGGGGGTCCTTATAAGACGAGGATGAGACACACACACAGAGCACTGTAATGGCAGAGGCAGAGACTGGAGTTACACTGCCGGAAGCCAAGAGGTGCCGTGCCGGAAGCAAGGAAAAATTCTGCCCCAGAAGCCTTGAAGGGAGCAGGGCCCTACCAACACCTTGATTTCAGACTTGTAGCCTCCAGAACTGAGAGAATAAATGTCTGTTGTTTTAAGCCACAGTTTGTGGTGATTTATTTTGATAACCCTGGGAAATGAATATAGCCAGTAATGAGTCACCACCAGTATCACAATAGACCCCCACTCAGGATGCTCCACTGTATTCCCTCCCCATCCCATTGCCCCAAATGCCCTCCCCAGTCAATTCTCTGGAATTATGAAATGCCCTGGAGGAGAAAAGAGAACCTGAAGACTCCTTGTAGACCATATACAATTTACAGTTGCCCAAATGTAATGGCTTTGGTAAAAATTAGTGGAATGCTATGATGGTTGGGCTAACAAATGCTTAAAAAACTAAAACAAAGGTATTGCCCACCCTACTTATCAAAGGTTCCTCTTCCCAGAATATAAGACACTATGAGGAAAGGTTGGCTTTATCTTAAAAAAAAAATCCACTACACCTTTCATCAAGACTGGACCTACCTGCCTGGAATCTATCTACCTATGAAGATCTGCTCAAGGGTGGCCCTCTGCCCCTGCCTCATCACAACAGCTGGACGCTCCCTTTACTTAAGTGAGAGGAGGGTAAGGGAAATCTCTGGAAGAGACAGATAGGGTTGCAGGGCCTTAAGTGGTAACAGTCTGCATCCTTATTAACCTTTTTTTCTCAGCAGGGAGTCAGGTGCACACTATATGCTGTTGCCAAGATCTCCTGAAACAAGTAGCAGAAGCCCTCCAGTTCTTCAAATCACACCTGAGGGAGGGAGAATGGGCTGGTGGGCCTGGGGACCAGCCGCGAGGGGTCCTCCAGATAGCGGTTCCCTGGAGTAGTAGGACTTAAGCCTGTGACAGGTAGCAAGGCACTTGTTACCACCTCCCACTGCAACAAAGAACATCTGCTGATGGGGGCGTTTGAGTTTTAGAGTTGGCATATGCTCCACTGTGGAATTCTTACATGCTCCAATCTTGGGTCCTCCAAAAGGCCACATACTTTGAATAGGGTTCAGAGGAGCTTCAGTGATGGACTCTGGCCAAGTTACAAGCCACAGTCTTGTCAGCTCCAACCCTTGGGCCCTGTAAGTCAGAAAGATGAGACTTGAGGTCTCCGTGATTTCTGCCTCTCCCCCAGTGTCCTCTGGGGGAGAGGCGAGGGAGAGCAGATCCTAGAAGGAAAGATAAAGCAGAAGTATTTAAGGTCTGAACTAGGCTGTGCTTCCAGCAACTGAGAATTATACTGCTTTTTAAAGACAATTGCTGGGTTACCACCAGCTGCTGGTGCAGAGATTCACCAAGGCTGCTGGGTTGTTTGGTAAGTTAGAACCCTCTGCCGCACAGCAATACAGCCTAACAGTCTTTGATTATTCAATGGAAAAAAAAATCTAAGAAAGGATGAGAGATGGCTATGTGAATTAATGGCACAAGAAAAATCCATGACCCTGAGCCTCACTTTCAGCTGCCCAAACTGGGGCATCTCCCAGGGACTTAACTTTTGAATCAAAAGCAACAATGTGCAGCACAGGCAGAGCCAGAGAATGAGCCTCAGTGGACAGGCAATACCTTCCACCCTTTGTCACAGGCATCCTGTGTACGGAAGGGGTAAGGCCTCTGCACACAATGAGGAGCTCTGTGCCATCAGCTATAAGTTTGGGGCAACAGGAAGTGAGAATCTGAACTGACTCCAGAAATCAAAACAACCAAATGGATGGAAGATCTTGGAACAGTGTAGTATGACCAAGAGGTTTGGGGATGCCTTTTATGACAAGAATCAGGCATATTATTAACTCAAACCATTGTTTTTGTATCTCATATTTTCGTAGGTTGAATAGTGCCCCAAATAAGATATGTCCAAGTTCTAATCCCCAGTACCTATGAATGGGACCTTATTTGGAAATAGAATCTGCAGATGTAATTAAGGATATTGAGGTGAGATCAGCAAAGTTTTAGGATAGGTCCTAAATCCAATGACTGGTACCCTTATATATAAGAGGAGGAAAAAAAAACACTACAGAAAAAAAGTTGATGTGAAGGCTGAGACAGAGACTGGAGGGCAGCCACAGCCCAGGAGTGCCAGTGATCACCAGCGGCCACCAGAAGCTAAGAGAAAGGCGTAGAATGGACTGTCCCTCAGACCCTTCCAGGGTGCAAGGCCCTGCCAACATGGATTTTATACTTCTGCCCTTCAGAACTGTGAGGCAATGGATTTCTGTTGTCTTAAGCTGTTAAATTGGTTACGGCAGCCGCTGGAACTATTGCACATATACAAACCTACCAAGAAAATCAGGGGCAGAAAAAAACTATTTTAACCACCCAGTAAATCAATAGTATGCCGGGGGTGAATG